TGATGAAAGCGTGGGTGCATTGTGTCATATTTTTCGTATATTGAGCGCCCCACGCTTTTATCACAATAATACTAGTATTTTTTTTCATAATTATTTTAAACTTATTTTAAAAATTATTTTTAACTTTTTAGTTCGATGTGTTTTAAAAGCGTGTTTTTTTAGTTTTTTAAACTATATTTATTTATGATAGTGATTTTAATCACTGCCAGATATCATTTATACTGGACCCAACTATGCCACGACCCCACTGTGCTTGGTTTTTTTTATTACAACGGGTTATATTGTTTTTTATCATATGCGTAATGTTACGTATATTTCCTGACACATCCTTCCCCCACTCAAGAACAAATATGTTCAGAACTTCTGAAATAATGATTCAAAAGTAATTTGAAACAAAACAGAAATAGAATTTGACACGGCCCGCGTCGCTTCGTTATACACGATGCCCCGCGACTCGTGCCACCTTTATCAGCCGTCGCCCTACTATGAATATTTGACTGACCAACACCGCGTGTTATACGCTACGGTGCAAAGTCCAGCAAATGCCGCACGGCCGACGACGACCCGCCGCAAATGGTGCGAGAGTCTTCCTCCCGTTGTGAAAGCGACAACGTCGACAGCCGAACCGCACCCGCGCACCGTCGCCTACAACGCTGCTAACCATTTTGCCGTCCAAGGATTACGCCGGACATCACGTCGTCGACGCCAGCGAAAGTGCCGCGATATTATGCGAAGATTATTATTACTGTGTTTATCTTTTCGGTTTGTTTTATTTTTGTTAACATAATATGTTGTCGCTCATTTAATAAACGGCCCACGGGTCTCTACCCTCAAAACCAGTATCGACCACATTTTTGCGACGTAAGTCGTGTCAAAGTAAAAAAATCTTAATTTTTACCTTTTTATACATCTACCATAAAATATCTCATATATATGGTCTTTAATATTTCAACTCAAAATATACGAATACAACAAAAAAAATTAATTTATCAATATATTGTATTGTTGAAATAAAAAGTACCCCTAATTATAATCGTTTTCACACGTTGATAAATTGTGAACCAAAATATCTTAATGTACTATATTTGCATTTGTATTTTGTCAATTTTTAAAACAACAACTTTAATAAACTGAGTAAAGTTAATTGATATGATTGATTTCTAAATGTGAACAATTTTAAAATATACAGGGTGATTTTTTTATCATAACCCACTCAATTACTTACAGAATAATAATAATTTAAACATTTTTTTTTATTATTATCTTTAGTTACACATTATTCTTGAATTATTAACTATGTAATACTTTTTAAGTTCATCCCTTATGCCTGGTAAGGGTGTCAACTTTGTTTTTTTAAATGGTAACTCATATTTTTAATTTAATAAAATGTTTGAGTTTTTAATTCAATAGTATATGGCATTTGAATTTTTAATAAAACTTAATTTGTTTATTAGATATAAACATTTAAAGTTTCAAATTTTTGAGTTAATATATAGGTATAATACACAAGGGATTACAAATACAGGTAGCTAATTGGTTTTTTATAACATCGATATTAGCAGGTACACAGCATTGTTATTATCAATTGTAGTAAGGCACATTGTTATGAGTTTATAAATACACTAACTGACAATACAGAAAGTATATCTATTGATAATCATAATTGATAATAAACAATCCGTGACTGAGACAGCAATGTCATAAAAATCCAATTAGCTACCTGTATTTACAATCCCATGTGTATTATACATGTATATTAACTCAAAATTTTGAAACTTTAAATGTTTATATCTAATAAGCTAATAAAGTTATATTAAAAATTCAAATGCCATTTACTATTAAATTAAAAACTCAAACATTTTATTAAATTAAAAATATGTGTTACCATTTAAAAAAACAAAGTTGACACCCTTACCAGGCATAAGGGATGAACTTAAAAAGTATTACATAGTTAATAATTCAAGAATAATGTGTAACTAAAGATAATAATAAAAAAAAATGTTTAAATTATTATTATTCTGTAAGTAATTGAGTGGGTTATGATAAAAAAATCACCCTGTATTGCAACATAACATCTATAACGGGTAACAAGTGTTACTCTAAAGTTCTAGATACGAAATTCGTATCACACAGGGAAGTAAGAATTTATACACTTTTTTCTTATTTTTTTTAAAAGTATTTAATATAAAAATATGAATGTAATGAATAAATATAATTTAGTTTTAACAAGATATTAAATTCTAAATATGTTATATTTAAAGAAACTAGAATTCATTAATCATTGTTTGCACAATAAACCAACCAAAAAAAAAAAAATTTATATTATTATTATAATGAATAATTTTTTCGATAATTTTAGAACTTCATGTAATAAAAAAAAAAATTTTTAAAATATGAGTATGTTTAGATAAATTTTTTTAATGATTTTTTATATGTAGAATGATAATAACCTTAAAATATTTATATTGTATAACAACTCTCTAACGCTTGGATTTTAATAAATACAATCAAATAGGTTCAGTAAAATTATATGAATATTATAATAATTAAGTTTAATTAATTTGTGACATTTTATAAATAATTAATTTTTTTGATTACACTGGATTTTAAGGAGTTTTAAATGAAGGATTAGGCTAAAATAATTATAATTTTTCGAAAAGGGGTTAATATAAAATTTATATATTAAGAGTCCGGTGTCAAAATGTTCGGATCCGCTATTTTTTGCTCAATTTACAAGTTGAGTCTAAATTATAAACTTTAATGAAAATCAACTTAAAAAGATAAAAAAATTGAGTAAAACATGTGTTTTGTACGAGGTAGGTGGGCAAGTTATGCACCGCACTAAACCCAACCGTTTTACTTTAAACTGGTCTAAATCGCTATTATTGAAACGGGAGAGGGGTCACCTGGGAGAATGACAGCAAACCGCTCATCAAATAAATAACGAGAGTAGACAATACTCAAATAACTAATAAGCACATATATTAAAGATTCTTCAAATAGTATCTTAAATTTAAGGGGTTGCAGGGTGCCTTTAAATATTAATGGCCGTCGAAGTGGCATTAACAAAATAGTTAAAACACATTTTAAAAAAATAATAAATAATCTTAAAAAATAATATAAAACTCAGCTGAATAAATAAAGTTGTTGATAGTGGTTAGTGGAATGTATGAGATCTGTGGTAATGGTATAGAACATCTGAATATCCTGAGTCGGAGTGTAGATCCAGCCACGTAGTAACAGATGAAAACTGACGAAGGAAAAGCTACTCTGGCGGTGAAGTTATTTAGAGATGGTCAGGGCTCTCAATCACAGGTGGCGTTTAAGGGCTCGAGAGCTTTGAGCACAAAGGCACAAACAAATAATAAAAATAACGGCGTACAATGGCCGAACAATTCACCATTCAAATGAAGGCATTTGCTACAAAAAAAAAAGATGACACATAAAATATTGACTCACTGACTTACGACGATGAGTTGTACACGGATGACAATTGACACATAGGCCATCGATTTTCCGTGCTGGGTGGGCAAGGGGGTGAGTAAAGCAAAGACGCTAGAGAACCAACGATATAATATAATCAACAGTATTTGTGACAACTGGTCCACCAGAATATTGTTAAAACCAAACAACATGACATTTTGAATCGAAATTTTAACGGATTATTTTCAACACATTAAAAACATTTTTTTCGTCATATCAATTGTATAATAATTAAAAATAACCGAATTGTTTGTAATTTATTAATAAATAACAAATATATTATTTATATATTTATTTATTTGTTTATTTTTTTGCTTTGTGAACAGATAGAACCGGGTTAATATACGCGTACCTCTGTCGACAAACTATATGAATATGATTGTTTGACTAACCAACGTCATAGGCCATATGTCACAGTACAAAGTCCAGTAAATGTCACATATCGAATAGTCGCAAATACACGGACAAGTCAAATTGTCACCGACCAGTCCACAGTGTGTTTTTTCCCTCGTACGATATCAACTGTTAAACAACGGAAAAAGCGACTTCGAATCCAACGAAACAAATTGGAATACATTTTTTATTTTCTTAAAGAAAATTATTGTTTGATTCAAATAACTCTATAATAATATGAACTTATGATATTTTTTTTATTCCTTGAAGGAAAAACCATTAACTATTCTAATTTGATGTTATAAAAAGAAAATTTTAAACAATTTTGACCAAATTTTTTTTTTATCTGATCGATGTTTTGTGTATAAAAAATTGTTTAAAGATTTGGATATAAAATACTAATTTATCATTAATTTAGTTTTCATACTACCACACACAACAAAATTCAGTTTCAATGGGTTATACATTTTTTTTTTTTGTTTTTGGGGTAGATATCAAGAAGGTTGTTCATCAATGAAAACAATAATATTGTGTTAAGTATAAGAATATACGTCTATTAATATACATGAATTATAAAATATCATATTTCTGTTTAATGAATATACTATCCATTAATTATACATATTATTATTGTCGATAACTGTATGTTAATCAGCAAATTATCAATGGGAAATTAGTCAAAAATTACTAAACTTAAAAAAATTTTTAACTACATATTATTGTAGATCTTTTTGAATTAAATATTTTCCTTTGCGAAAAATTAAAATTTTAACAGCTTCCTAAAAAATGAGTATCTGTGAAAATGAATATTGTTGAGATTAGGGAGTTTATATTATATTAATTTTATATATATTTTTATTAAAATGAATGATCTAATTAAGATAATGACTGGCCAATAAAAAGTTTTGGACAAGTACTTTAAAAGTTATTCTCACCTAGGTTATTCATACCTAGGCAAATCAAAGAATATGGTTGGGAAATGACTAGTGACAAAAATTGCAGCACCCACTCATCACTTCCAATCGAAACTTCTAATAAATTCTTATATACTAATAATACAAAATTTGTTATCGACCAGACATTTTCTTATTTACATTATTTTCGATTTTATAAGCTAATTAATTATAAATGTTGCTATTTGAAATATTTCTAAGACTAATAATTAGGTTATACACTATCATTTATGAACCTCTAAAATATATTTGAAAAGTGATTAATTTGATTGTTTTTGTGAGCCCAACAAATAAGGTTCTTTGCTAATCTTTTTTTTGTTTTGTTGTTTTTGCATAAACACATAAAAACAAGAAATAAAATTATAATAATTACAATAATAAATGAAAAATATTTTTTCAAGGATTTATTTCATTTTATCTAATGCATATACAGCGAAATTATAAATGGACATTTACGTTTATCTCATGTTGAGATCGATTGTATAACATTAATAGAATAATCCTGTTTATATATTTATTTGTTATTCAGTTTGATTTTTTTTAAATAAATGTTTCTCTATTTTCTTATTAATGTGTAATAATTTTTTAAAACGATATAATTTTTAATAAAATTTGTTTAGACAAAACATCTTTGTGTAAAATTTTTTTACTTAAAAAAATAAAATGAACATTTTAGACTCAATGAAAACGTTAATATGTCTAAATGTGATTTTTGATAATACTTTATTTGTTAAAACACAACTCAATTTATTTGTAAGTATTAGCAGCTTTTATGTAAAGCTGAGAAGTTATTAATATTTCTATTTAATTTATGTTTTGCTATTATTTTTTATCACAGATATATAATATAACTAGTTATATTTTTTATTTATTTAAGATGGTATTATCACTCAGGTTTTATTAGACTAATATAATTAAAAATTAAGTTTAAAACACCAAAATTACTCTCAATATTTGCAAAAAAACTCAATTTTTTATCTTTGATACAAAACTGAAAAGGTATTATTTCTGTATGTTTTTCATTTTTAAAACATGGATCTTAATGACATTAATGTCATATTATTAAAATTTTAATAAGGTATACTGAAGACAATTAGTTTTATTTTATATTTTTTTATAAAAATCTATTAACAATCCTAAAGAAGAATAAGAAGAGTATAGCCTAAATTTTTATAGAAATTACGAATGCATATTGTTTGATAAAACAAATAATTTAACGAATGAAATTTGTAAACAGATCAATTGTAAAATTAATAAATGTGCAAAATTATTGTCAGGTTTAAAATATTTTCATTGAAGCGTTTTTAATGATAGTGGTGTTATTGCTGTCATATATAAACAATACTTGTGTTAACTAAGCCACCTCACTGTGCTGATTTTTTGAATAATGAAAATATCCCAAAAAATTATAATTTTAAAATCTGCTTATCTAAAATTTTTTTTTGAATTTCCTACCTCAAATTGTTATAGGTTTATTTTAATGCTTAAATTGACACAGATTTTTCTGTCTTTTGGTATAAGTAGTGATTTTTTTTTATTGATAACCATCCTAAGTACAGAAAGGGGTAAAACATTAACAATTTCCAAAAAGTAGGACATCTTAGACTATACAAGATGATATTGACTTAAAAAAAAAAAAAGTTAACATCCTTATAAAGTATAAAAGATGAATTTAATAAATTCTTAATAATTGATAAGCTGAGAAATATTTAAAACTTGAAATTATCAAATATAATTTTTATTTTAAGATAAATCGAAAGGTCACGTCAAAAAAAGTGATTTTTTTATTATAACCCACACAATTACTTACAGAATGTATTATACATGTATATTAACTCAAAAATTTGAAACTTTAAAAAATTAATATCTAATAAACGAATTAAGTTATATTAAAAATTCAAATGCCATTTACTATTAAATTAAAAACTCAAACATTTTATCAAATTAATAATATGTGTTTCCATTTAAAAAAACAAAGTTGACGGACTTACAAGGCATAAGAACTTAAAAAGTATTGCATAGTTAATAATTCAAGAATAATATGTCACTAAAGATAAACAAAAAAAAAAAAAATGTTTAAATATATTTATTCTGTAATTAATTGAGTGGGTTATGATAAAAAAATCATCCTGTATATATATATAACATAATATAATTAATTACATATGACAAGGTACTCTGTTTCATAGGATTATATGTATAAATACAAAATAAATTATACAATAAAAAATTCGATTTAAAAAAAATCAATAATAAAACAGTCTTAAGAAAATTAAAAAAAAAAAAAATTTATTTTATAGTGAGATATGAGTCCGAAATTTGATATACATAATAAATCACATTTATAAAATTGTAGAAAAACGAGCGAGTCGATATCTTTGTATGTTAGATGTACATGTTGTTATTTTAAAACAATTACCGCATATAGATTAAAGATTGAATTTTTTAAAAATAGTCTTGTTACAAAATAAAATTTTATAATTACTTTTTAAAAACACATTTTAATCCAAACATTAAGTTATGTAACATGAATATTATTCTGAAAATAACAAAATCGTCTAATTTAAAAATGAGGTAATTTTTATTAAATTTAGGGTCCTTATTGGATTAATTTCAAACAATTTAGATTATGTGAATCAAGCATTGATTATCCCATAAAGTTCAGTATAACAATTTTAAGAGATACCAAGTTTTCTCAAATATTTCTTGGAAACATTTCACTGAAACAACCTTTTGATGATCATATAGATGTGAGTATACATATTTTAATGCATAATAATACAGAGTAATAGTGTTTTCATAAACCACTCCATTACTTCAAAATACAGAATTTAAATTATATTGTATACAAATATTATTCGAAATTAAATACATTTTTTTAAGATGAGTATAATGTTGGGGAAATATGACTCTATAGGCTTGTGGAAAGAACATCCGCTGGGTTATATTAGAAATACCTGCTCTATATTAAAATCTGAAATTTTTGGAGAAAATACTTGGAATCAATTTATCAATGATTTTCATTTACCGTCAACAAACTGTCCATTGCCAAAAGTGAGTAATATTAAATTTTGAAATTTACTCTTTACATTTTATATATATTGCGTTTTTAATAATATATTATTTTAGGGACATTACGCTTCAACAGGATTTAATACATCTTTATTTAGAATGTCGAAGTTACCAAAGAAATTTTTTTATGGAAAATATACAAGCCGTGTATCATTATACGACAATAAAAATAGTTTAATTGGTTGTACAAAAGTTTCTATTGAATTGAATCCTTTTACGTGAAGAGGAGACAGTAATGACTGTCTAATGAGTACATGTTTTTTAATATACATTTGTAACAAAATACATTCTCATTCAGAGAATGTACGTTTCAATTGTAATTAAAAAACACGCACACATATCTATATATATAATTAAAACTCATTATTCGTAAAATTTCTAGAATATTATTCTTTATTGATACAATTATATGAGTATTGTTAAATTTTTTTCTAAATAATTTATATGTTAATTTTTTCATAATATATACAAAATGTGTCATCTTTATTTAAACATTTAAAACTTATTCAGTGTGGTACAATGAGTAGGTTTAAAGTATTAAGTTAAGAGACGATTGAAATAGAAAAGTGGTTCAAATTGACTATAATTGAGTCACTTTTTAAAATAGTTAAATATTTATAACACGTTAGTAAAAGATTATTTTCAGTTTATAGGTATTACATGTGCATCTACCACAAATATATGTCAATAAGTCATATATTAAGTGTAAGTTATTCCTGTAAAGGGAAAAATGTAATTTTATAAAGGAAAATGTATGAGAATCCAAAAAATTATATTGTAGAAGTAATCTCCTACTTTTCTTCAGTTTTTAAAATTAATATTATATATTACATAAGGGTATATTAATATTATAACATATGCGACTTTAATGTGTGACTAATACCAAACAAAATATAAATGTAAAAATAAAAATGCTTGTAATTTAATTTGCTGTTCCTTAGAATAAAAAACCGTAAAATCACATTGTTGGACTAAAATTGTAATATATAAGTTTACGATTATATTAAAATACTAAACGATTTTATATACAATGTGATCTATTAGTATACTGTTCCGATATTTTCGTTAAATAATGATTTTTTCATTAAATTGTACAGATAAAAATTTAATTTATTTTTATAAAAAAAATTTTAAATATGAAATTTATAGTGAGAAATAATTATTTCTGAAAATAAAATTTAGAGTTAACTTTGGAAAGTTAAATGGAAATCTCTCAATATTTTTTGTTATTAAATAAAGGATAGACTAAATAAAATGTTAACAGGTCGATAACTAGTATTTACCGTTACTTTTTAAGCTTTAGAAAAGGTATTGTTTAGTAACTATCTATTTTTACCATAATGCACAGATAAGTAATCCTTCACGTTGCGTACCACAACACTTGCATGTAACTAAAAATTATAACTCAAAAAAAAATAATAATACAATACTTTTTGTCGACCTATCAATGTTTTAATTAGACTACCCTTGATTTAATAGTAAAATAATAATAACAGATTTAAATTTATCATTCGAAAGTTATTCCTAAAATCTACCCTTAGGAATAAGTTTTTATAAATTTGATCATTTAATAGAATTGATATTAAGTATTAATCAATTTAGATGTAGATTAACTTTTTTTTCATCGATAACCAATATGGCATACTACTTTTTTAGAAATTATAATATTCAGCTACAGACAAGCCCAGTGCACAACGTAGAATTCTTATCTGTACCGTTTTGCTTAATTCGATAATTTATCACATGCCACAACATGTACAATAGTATCTCACTTAATGTATTCTTAATAATTTCGTCCATTACTAAGAAAAATTAGTAAGAACTTATAGCCGTATCATGATATTTTCCATCTTTAGGTTTGAAATCTTCCTTTACTCCTCACAAAATCTTAACTCTCTTGTATTTGCTGTCTTATACTTTCTTCCAAGTAAAACAGATGTTATAAAACGACACGGCCCCGCGTCGCTTCGTGATACGCGACTCGTGCCACCTTTATCGCCCTACTATTTGAGTATTTGACTGACCAACACCGCGTTGCCACTGTGCAAAGTCCAACAAGTGGCCGACGACGACCCGCCGCAAATGATACGTTGAGTCTTCTTCCCGTTGTCGCAGTGATGACGTCGAGGATGTACGCCACCGGCTCCGGACGTGCCGCACGACCGGACCCGACGAACCGATCCGCACCTGCTAATCAACGCTGCTAACTTTTTAACGCCGACGGCAGCAAAAGTGCCGCAATATTATGCGAACATTATTATTGACTGTGTTCGTCTTTTCGGTTTGTTTGTTTTTTTAAATAATCTGCTTATTAACAAACGGCCCACGGACCTCCACCCTCAAACCAGTGTCGACTACATTATTGGGTCGTGTCAAATACAAAGATATAAATGAATTCGTGGAGTATTGATATTATTATAACAGTTTTTATTTTTTTTAATTACACAATATGTTTAAAACATACACAAATTTATTATTTATTATAACAAAAATAATAATAAATAAAAGTCTTAAAATGAAGATCACATTATAACAAATATATTAAGTTTTGTACACGCCTATATTTTAAATAAATAAAATTATAAATTCTAACATATTTCACTTTATACAAAATGAATACAATACTAATAGAGTGAATATTTTTCAATAACTTATTGTACGTAATAAAATGAAAAATGAAATATCAATAAAAACAGTTGTTTTGAATTTCCAGACTTCTTAAAAATTCTTAGTATAATAGTATAAAATTTTTACTTAAATGTATACAAACTATAAATATTTCATAATGGTTTCAAAAAAATAGTAATAAACTGAGTGGTAACTATAGACTTTTATACACGAAAAACAAATAACGAATAATATCATGATTCTGAATACACAGTTGACATTTGGAAAAAAGTGTTTTCGTCATACAGTGAACTCAGTGAAGTAGACATATCTTTTAAAACCATATTACTGCTACTATCAAATGCTTGATTAGTGATTGGGTAAGATGGCGGTGTTTCTTCTATTGGCCTAACTTCATTTTCAGTCTTTCTATCCAAGTCCATATAGTACTGTTGTTCTTGTGGATTTATATTATTCGGCCTTGAATAGTTTCCAAATTTATTTGCGCTATTATTATTTTGATAGTTGTTGTAATAATGTTGATTACATTGTTGTTGATTGCACTGCTGATTAATACAACTATTGTTATAATAATTGCTATATGGAATTCCGTTATTTGCAGTTGAATTTGTTTGCTGCCCATTGTTATTTCTCTGGCATCTTTGATAAGAATCTTGGCCATTATAATAACCATTACTGTGCTCAGAAAATTGACTATTTTGATAATGTTGATTATTGTTTTTCATTTGATATTGCGTATTATTTTGTCTAAAGTTCGTATAATTGTGGTTATAGTGAGCAAAATCTTGATTAGATGAATAAGAATATCGACCTCCATTTTGCCGCTGTTGTATCATAGGAGCACATCTTATATTGTTGTTGTTAGTATTAGTATTATTATTATTATTATTAAGCTGCAAAGGCGCGTTTGTTTGATATGGTCTTTGATTATGAAATGATGGTTGATACATTCCCCTGGACAAACTTTGATTTTGATTTTGTCCTTGCCAATTCACTGGTAAACTATTGCTACGCATATTACGATGATTATTAACTACTTTAGGTCTTTCACTTGTCGTAGAATTTTGAACAGGTGTCGTATTTGTTATTACTTGTGGGCTTCCTAGATTTGTATTTTCATTTACAATAGGCGATGTTAAAGTTGGAATTTGTTCCAAAGCTGATTCTGTCAATTCGTTGATGAGATCATAATTGTCAATTTTTTCTCCTATTATCTATATAAGAAAAAAAATTACAGACTGTTATTATTTAAGTTTTAATATTTAAATATTATTTAAGTTTTAAGTTTTATCTTCAAGCTTACCATATCTTTAATAACATCGTCAAAATCATCTGGTAAAACCATTTTACTTTCCAACGATTCACCTTCACCCACTTCATCTAGATTAATATTAGAATTTGGATGGTGTACAGCTGATGCTTGATGTGTTGATGGCCTCACCATTTTAGCACTTTCGGGTATTTGTCTGCATTCTTCACTTGAAGTAACGGGAAAAGCCTAGTAAAAAAAAATAATTTTAATAAGTTATAAAATATGTACACTCAAATAATAATAAATAATATTTTAATATAATAAAATATGTACACTCAAATAACGATTAATAAAAATAATTACATCGAGATCAGGTCCATTAGCTGTATTTGCTTGACTAGGTGAATAATCCACAGAAATTGGATCATACAGAGAAGAAGCATTGCTTAATCTATGCTGCTCAGAGGGCACCTAGAATAAATATTTCATAATTATAAATAAAGAAATATAACTTATTTTTAATTTTTCGTTGTATTTTGTTCAAATTATTTTCTGTATTTCTTTTACTATTTTGTTAATTCTTTACAAACATTCTTTACAAACATTCTTGTTTTTTGGTTTATTATAAATTGTCGTTTGGCGTTACATAATGAATATAAAAAATAACTTATCATAGAAATTTATTTATACATACTTGGCTATTTCTACGACTGTGATCAGACTTCATACTCCAATAATTGCTAAATGTACTTTCGCGTCGAATGGAATCTTGGTTAGAAGCCATTTTCATATCAGTTAGCCGTTTATTAAGTTCTTGAATTCCAGAACCGCCATGTCCTGGACTCAACTCAGGTATAGAAGATATCTCATCAACTGCATGTTTTAAGCCAGCATGAGGTACAAACCGACGCATTCTTCTGACCATTGGTGCCGAAGTTACCATTCCAACTTCAGATTGCATTGGCATAATATCAAAAAGCTAATAATTTAACAAAACGTTTTTAGTTTAGAATTAATATTGAATTTGATGAAGGAAAATTAAAAACTTGAAGTAATTATATAGTGATTAAAGCTATATATAATAATATTTAAAAAATAATTAAAATAGTTAATGTTAACACTTACATCAGCATCTTGACCATCTTCAACCCAATTTTCATCCAAAGCATCTGCACTATGATTACTATCGCTAATTGGTTCATCATGGAACATCCTATTATTATATGGGACACTCATGGGACTTGGTTGTTGACCCGGAGAATTGGTTTCCTAAAGAAATATGTATTTTTAAAATAAATAATTGGTATTATATTTTTAGAATAAATACCTCAGACTTGATGCTTGGACTAGATACACTAACAGTTTTTGCACTCATTGGCATTTCATCACTTCTATAAGGAGATGCATCATCAGCACCCGCGCCAGTGCCTCCACCACCGCCACTTCCTCCTCCGTGATTACTATCACCATTACCTTTATGTCTTTTATGAGCATAAAAGTCAGCCCCATGGACAGTCTTAACATGTTTTCGCAAGGAACTAGGATCAGTGTAACGTTTTGTACAACCTGGAGCCTTGCAAATGTAAGGTTTCTAAAAAACAAAAGTACTAAATAACAAGTTGTTTTTTAAAACTAAGTTATTATATATTATCTCACCCCATATTTTATCCAAGTTAGCATATAAATCAATAAATAATAAATCATGGAATGATTATTTTTTAATAAGAATATATCATAAAAAATCTATGCTTTTGTTTTCTCATCTTATTAATATTTTTTTTTGTCTTTTTATTAAAAGTATTCGCTTTCTTCTTTAAATATATAATATAAATCTGTAGTTACCTCGCTAGAATGAGTTCGATTTTGATGTTTTGCTCTATCTGAAGCATTACTAAATGCTTTACTACAACCTGGGTGTTCACATGTATAAGGTTTTTCACCAGTATGAGATCTGAGATGTGTTTTGAGATTTTCTAGTCTTGAATAAGCTTTAGTACAGTTTTCAAACTAAAAAATGTATTTTTATCATTATGTAAATTTTATTTAAGTAGCAATTGATATTTAACTGGTATTAAATTTATACCGATTATTTTTATATGTATGTATAATATAACTAATATATAAAATTTAATTACAGTGCATTTATGAGGTTTTTCTCCTGTATGTCTCCTCATATGTACTACAAGCATATACTGAGCTTTAAATGGCTTCTCATCTCTAGAACAATCTTGCCATTGACAAACGAATGATTTTTTATTGGCTTGAATATGATCATTTACTATATGCTACAATTTAATATAAAAAAATTATATTAATAAACTATACTCAAAATGACGAACATTTTGATTTTGATACTCAAAATATAATTATATATTTTCTTTAATTAAATCATTCAAAAATATTATAGGAATTACTTGGACTAAAACAGCTTGTGTCTGAAATTCCAAGTTACAGTGTTTCCAATGACAATTAGTTTCTATGAAATCCGGTTCACCTTTTAAATCACATATTGACTCTGGAGAATTTTGTTTAGAGTCTTCAGATAATTTTTGAGATGATTTTTTAGATCCCGATTTTGATTTTGATCGTTCGTGCTTAATTTTACACATTTCATTAGCCAACATCTAATTATTAAAAATAAAAAAATATTGTAATTTTTATTTAAAAAATATTGTTTTTTGAAACATTTTTGTATAACAATCGTCAAACATAACCATGACTATTTTTTAACTATTAAAATAACTTACTTGAGAACCATCTTGAGAAGGTACTGGTAACATATGAATATTATATGAAGGATGATGAGCAGAAGATGGAACAGAGGTTGCATTGTGCCATGGTAAATGAAGACCGCTAGCAGATCGAAGCAACTGTTGTACTTGAGGTGATATTACAGATGGGTGGTGTTGCATAGTAAAAGCCAATGGATTTAAATGTCCATATGACCCAGAAGTACTTGAACTTCTGGAGCAAGATGCTCCATATGCTGCTGCTGCCGAGTATAAAGCACTCGGCGATGACCGAATACGGCCATGAAGTTCCAAGTCCGGAGACGGTGAAACAGAAAGTGCCCGTTTTTTGCCCTGGCGTGAAAAACTCTGCGCCAATGGACTGCACAATCCCGAACCTGAACATGAGGTCAATGTATATTTTAGTATTTAACCAAATATTTAGTATTTTACTATACTTAGTATTTACGCTAAATGAATCACTTACTTAGAGAGCCAACTGTGGCAAAGGATGAACAAATATCCATGCAGTTAAAGCGAAGGGGATGTGGAAAATCAGCAGGGTGGGGGTGCGGGTGATGTGGCGGTAAAACGCCACCCGCCCCCCTCCTTGATATTAAATCACCTGATCCTCCAACACTGCAACTTCCAACCAAACTAAAAGTATATAAAATATAATTTTTAGTATATTTTTAAATTTAAAGTTAGATTAAAATTATCTATTAAGTATGACAAATATATTTGTTAATTAGACATCTTACAATCAACCCAGACAAGTTTTCAGAATTCATTTTCCAATGGAGGGGAACCATTAAAATTTCCCCTGTATGTGGGGCTAAATCAACTTAATACTTTTATCAGCAATTATTTAATCTATTGATTATCCATATTAAGGCCATTTTTAATTAAAACAAATAATTTGTAGTAAACATTTTAAATCTTCTTAAAAAAATATATGAATTTATCACTTAAAAAAAATGAAAATGTGGGTACCATTTTCATTTTATCATTAAAAAACAACCTTAAGTCCTAAATATAGTGATTTCAATAATGTCGAAAAAACACTTAAAATGAATAATATTCACATGAAATAAATAATATGAAGAAAACTAAAAAGCAAAATGGTATCGTGTGTTGTAGTAAAATGAGATATTAACCATCACCAACAATTCAGTAGTATGGCACTTGAGCTTGTAAAAACAGAAATAAGAGCCTAGGACAAAGACAAGCACAGTTGTTGTACATCAAAAACGTGTTCCTCGCTAAACGAATCGTATCGGCTAACAAAAAGAGGAGAAGAAGCAGAAGCATTGCAGCAACTGCAGCCAACAGCGTTGTCGTAAAAATTCCTCGACAAGTTAGTTGTCCTTTTTGGAAAGAGAGTTTTATTTTAACGACGATAGGCCATGTGCACTACCGCCAGAACCAGTGAGCTGTTGATTTACGACACTATTTTCAGATGTCGGCGGTGATGTCGGCATAGCATAGAAAAATACAACACACACAAACACACATTCACTAGAACACATACAATTGGCATCCTGTGAACTATTTCCGGGGAACTGTTTTTGTCGTGCAATATTTTATTTACTTTTCGTTTATTCAACTAATGACTATATCCAGCAAATTCGTATTAATTAGCTATAGATATGATGTAAACTCCATCGAGATTTCGATTAAAATTTCACACAATAAACCAAACTTATAAATATCGTCTAACATACAGATTTTTTTTAGTTACATTAAAAGTACAAAATAATAATAATTTATACGGATATTTTCATAATCTCTTGTATTACATAGCAATAAAATTAAATCAAGGCAATAATATTTTGTCACGATTAAAGCATGACTTAAAAGAGTTACAATATAATTTTAAAAATAGTTTATATAATTTACTACATGGGTGCTAATTAATAACACACACAAACTGTTTCATTTGTTTCATTCTTTTTACTCATAAGAATCCATGTCGAACTATTCAATCGATGATTAATTATATGAATTTTTTAAACATATTAATCAGCATAAAAAAAAATAAAGATAGGTAGAGACATTGATCCCATCATCGTAATGTCGGGCCATACAATGTTAAGTTAGATCAACGATAAACGTTTCGTATGATAAAGTCAACGTTGGAATGTGACTGACCATGAATTTCTCAGAACTAAACCAGCAGGACGTTGAATTTTGATTTCTTACTGTCCTTTTTGTTCCCCTCTTCCACCCTGTTGATGTATTGAAATACTTGTTCTTTGAGCGCTGTTGCAAACATAATACATGAAAACCCCCAGGGTTTCAAAAAAAAATTTACACCCTGTGTGAATTAAGCAAAAAAAGAACAAAAATCAGGTGCACGATTCAAGATTATTTCTCACAATACTGATGTTTCTTCCCACACAATATTAGTAGCTTATATACAGTGGTGCCTCGTCATACATAGCATAGTTGGAAATATATTTAAGTAGCGGGTACCGAATAGTCAAACATTAATTTCTTCCGCAACAATTTGAAAGTTTAAAAAACTAATACTAGGCTTCTTTCAGATGCAATTAATTTTAACAACACCTGTCGAAATGTGGAATAGGGTAATTTCCAAAGTACAATTCAGTCCAACACGCTGTTATATCAATGTTTAACCAAAAGACACGTCAAATAGTGCATATTTCAAACATCCGTAGATAGATGAAATGGCAGAAAATATAGCAGAGAAATCTAATACTCAATGATTAGACAGGATCGAATATATTTTATGAATTTAAAAACCCATTAAGTTTGTATGATTCGAACTCATGATTCAGATTTAAACTATTATTTATTTAATTGGTGATTGGCAACAATTCATTTTTTTTAAAGAAAATAATTTAATTAGGTTTTGCTAATAGAATTAATTTATTGTACCGGATGATTCAAAATTAAATTTTTATTCTAATTGACAAAAATATTATAGCTAAATCCGAGGAAATGAAACGTTCTAAGCTTTTTTTACTAACGATTATTTTACCATTAAGTTCTTACCTGATTCATTATTACTATTAATTTTCTAGTTCGCAACCGTAAGCTATATTCAAAAAATTAACGTCATATAGTTGTATCATCATATAAGATGATCATCAACTCTAGTTATCGAGTTTTGACGGACGATTCCAACGAATAAGGATGCACTTTTTACGATAGTGTAAAAAGGACGGTAACTATATACACGAGGTTGACAGTTAGCAGAACACGCGCACATCGCATCAGTACAAAACCAAATCGTCAACTGAGGTAACGAGAACTCAACACAAACGGTCGTGGACCACCCAAGAGTAAAATAAGAGATGGAGAGCGCGATCATGTTGATGACGTCACGCAATGGTATATGACTATCTTTCTTCCGTGCATTACATGCACGTATATGCGTCTTTTACCTATCATCCAACAGGTAATGCGTACAAACGCTGTACACACTTTATATACAATTGAGCATCTATATTACACATGATTGTATACAGAGGGAATTAAATTATCAACACTGACGAACCAATCGGGCAAAAGCGACGGTCGAACGTGATTTTTATCCTCTCCACGACACGCTTTTTGGTGCTGCAAGGGAATCGCCACGATGCAATTATCCAAGTCCAGAAGTATCATCCTTTCCCCCCTCCGGTACAGTTGCCCGATGAAAATGATGGTTTACATCACGACTATTTCTTCACTCATTTTTACGACCGATGATTATATGTAATGTCTTGTTCGTGAAGGCCAGAGGGACGGCCCAGAACACGTCGTGGAATCACACTGCGTTCGAATGCCGCCCTATGCTTTCATTTCTATTAAAATACATGTAGACTATTCGTCTATATACATCACCAAAAACTTTTTCACTGCCTACGCGAAACAGGAACTCATCGGAAACTTTTATTTAAAACTTGAATTTCATACTAACGCGTTACAAATTACCGACGGAGAAGCGTTTTGCATTGTGACGTAGATTATCAAATGAAACATAATTGTGTTTACGCTGCCGAGATCATAGACAAATTTAAAGACACTGGGATGTTTATAAATTGAAACACATGGAGATGTAATGCATATTCAGAAAAAATATTGTTCACGCGAAAAAGACGTATCTGCAATGATAAATGATGGCTAGAATTGATCGAAGAATCGGTCCAATTAAACTCGCAGCAAAGAAAAGTCGATGATTTACAACTGCAGCTAGGTGATTTATCACTAAGCCAGCACACGGTCATGGGGAAATGTCAGCGGCGGTGGCTGTGGATACGGCGCAAGAAAAATAAAGTGCGCACATATCCATGTAGTATAATTTACCGGATCGGCTCAACGGGGTCAGCACGTACATTTAATAATATAATGATAATCGTAATAATAATACGGATACTCCTACGTATAATGAATAATGGAAGCTCATAAGTCTATATACGAACAGCACGAGTAACGGATATGGTATACACACTCGGTGTAGTACCATCATCACGCCACAGTCTATATACATGACCGCTCTCCGGGCATAGCTGTGTATGAAGTAGTCGTATGGAGCATAAAAAATACACTGTCGGGGTGAGACCAATCTCAATTAACTTGGAACTTCATTTAAATATAACATTACTGGTGTAGCCTGAAAACAACAGCCGTATCGAAACTTATGCCTTGTACTATTTTGTTTTTCTTTGAACAAATTAATAGGAGGGCAAGCACCAGACAACGAAAAATAATTTATAATATATGCTACTCGGGTATTCGTGTGCGAGGATCAATAACTGTTAGGTGTAGTTCAATTTAGGGCCAGATGACTACGTTTACGTGACACGTCTTAATTAACACGATATGAGCCATTGTTTGGTGTAAATAAAGAGCATTTTAAGTAGCGGTTGAGTACAAAAGGAGGACGGTGAAACATGAACGCGCGCAGACGAATAGAATGTTGTACGCGACCGTGATTTGAACAAACGTCACGCTTGTGTCTAAAAAACTATGAGATAGACATTTTAAATGTTCGGCCAACATTGTGTCGCATGCTCTTTCACGGATTCTGGTGTCAGCATCACACCACCACCACACTCTTCACTTCCGTCCCTAAGCAATCTCATAATTTACATTTTTGGTAATGCGTATTTAACTAAGTATTATTCTTTTCCGTACATTGCCATATTGTCGTATCGCCTCCGCCACACGTGCAATGAATACTCCAATTATACCATTACAATTATGTCACCAAATTTAAAACTTGTGCGCTTGTTTTAAACATTTCATAACCAATTTATCGTTGAAAACATTTTTAAATAGCTAACAACTATTTCGCAAAGTGTTAAAAAAAACTAATTTTCTTATTGGTTTACTTTAAATATTAGATACTATCGGCTGCCAATAACCTAACCGGCTAGAGTTTGGATAGTTGGCGAAAACATGTATGAATTCGTGTTAAAAAAAAAATTATCCATTAAGATTTGTAATTTTAATATTTATTCGAAAAAACACCTTGTGGTAACGTCATAATTACACTTGTTGGCGTCCAAAAGATACGTACTTTGTGTGTATTTACAATATGGTATTAATAACCATACGCTTAACGTCACGTTATATCTGATTAAGCCGTTAACGAGAGGTGTCTCATGTGTAACGCGATAGCAACAGTGACCAGCCGGTGTGAGTTA